CCACAACCAGCATCTACACCCGCGATGAAGGCAGCGAGCGCGGCAAAGAAGTCGGCGAACCGAGCGGGGCGCAGAGAGCACCGCCGCGGTGGAAAACCACAAAACCGATTGCCACTGTGCAATCGCAGGACGCACCCAACAACTGCTGCCACTCCCACGGCACTAAGCGAGCGAGTGATGTGGGAGACCGCGGCATCAACTTCCAAGCTGAGAACGCAATGCTGCGGCCAGCGGGCACCGCATGAACAGCGCTGCAAACGCAGCCAATAATAAACGAAGTCGCCGCACATGAAGAAGCCCACTCCCCAAGCAGACGCGCGGTGTGGATAATGGAAAACAGAAGCAATGTCCGCGCTGCAGCGATGTCCTCCTGCTGCAAGCGAATCGGGATACGACGCCGCGCCCAGCCCCACGGATTGGCGCCCCCGGGCCGGGCCCACCCTCTGGCAAGCGCGGGGAGGCAGGCACCGCGAGAGTCGGCATTGCCGCGCACTTGCTCGCCTCGGTCGAGCGAACCATCCCCCGTCTCCAGGCCCCAGGGCGGTCGCGCCGCCGCCCAGCTCTCGGCCCTCCAGCGCGGCGCGCTCGCCCATGCGATGGCGCACAGAAGGAAGAACGAAACAGGTCTCTCCGTCGACCTGGCGCCATGCTGCGCGGGGGCTCGCAAACCCGCGGACGCACCAATGCCGCCTGGAACCGCTCGAGCCAAGGCCTTGCCAGAGGCGCTTAATTTCCTTGAACTACCGCCACCCCAAATCAAGAGGTCTCGCGAGCATTCGCGAGGCCAGCCGCGAGGCCAATCCGCGCGCGTGCGCGCGCAAGGGCACCACGCGCGAGGCCACCACCTTCTGGCGGCAAGCTTCGATCGTCAGCGCTCGGCCCTCTGCCCGAGGGACCGGCGGCAAGCCGTGAACTCTAGACGGCGTTCACGCTGCGAAGACAACGACAGAGCACAGACAGACAGGAGCCGCCCTTACCAGCTCACGCGAAAGTCGGCAACACTCCTGACTGGCACGGGGAAAGCGGGCGAGGCTGCAGGGCCGAGCCAAACTCAAAGTCACCACTGCTGCAGGGCCCGCTGCAGACAGAGCCAAACGCAAAGTCACCTGGGCAGCGGGGGGGCCGAAAGGAAAAAGGGGCGAGGAAGAAAGTACACAAGCGCAAATCACGATACTAAAGACGAGCAGCTGCCAGCCGCCACTGTCGCATCTGCCCCCGCGTAGCCGCAGCCCGTGCTTTGAACACTGCGCGCGGCTGCCATAGTCCAAGCATAGGCGCGGCCGTTGAAGACATGCACACAGGAGGCGAAGTAAACTGCAAAAGACCCATACTTACTGAAGCCCACAAACCGACCAAGACGCCCACAGTGTGCCACCATGATGTAAGAGCGTAACGCAATCTGGCGTAGCACAGCAACGGTAACACCTTCCCTCGGTCGGCCTGCACGGCGAGGCGAACGTGCGATGATGTAGCGGTCGCTCTCCCACTGGCGCGCGATCAGAAACGGGGCGCCCTGTAACGTAGGACGCCCACCAGTTCAGCAATAACGCATGGGGAAGACGCATCCACCCGTCCCAGTATCAAAATTGTCTTGACATTATAAGACCACTCAGTGTAGCGCCCTCGCTGGTGCACTCGAAGATTGGCGAGAAGATTGGTGACCCACAGTATAGTTGATGAGAGCCGTGTGCAACTCGTCTGCGACAGCTGCCGTAAGTGTGATGTTCTGCCGTAACGAGTAGCCACACTGCATAGTTTTGCCACGATGTCCAAGCCCTCGAAGAGGTCGACCTTGTACCACACTCGCCCTCTGGTGAGGATTGCGCAGAAGGCGCTTTGGAAGCTTCGTATGCTGTGCACCTGCTCGCCTATACCATTCGGATTCCCGTTCGGCATGAGGCTCCAAGAGGATCGTGCCGTCCCCCAACGCTCGCCCCCCGTACCAAATCACCCAGAAAAAGACATCATCGCAGGCACACAAGTCAAAAGTTCGTTACACGAATGTGTGAGTGAGTGGCTGCAAGGAAGGAAGGGCGAGTGGGATTTGCGACCCACTAAGGCACGGTGTACGACTGAACGCATCACTTGGGCCCTGAAGCTTCCAGAGGCGCTTCCCGCCATCCGCCAGCGCCCCGTCGGCACGTAGCGGAGTGCCCAAGGCTCATGCAGCTATGCGAGGTACAGGGTTTGTGGTCCTGAAGGGCCTGGACTCCCAGCTTCCCAGGCGGTCCTGAGCGGTGCCGGAGTGTGTCGCCTGAGCTTTTGGGACGCCAAGAGAGCCCCAAAACGGGCCAAGAGGACACTAGGAGGCCCCGAAAACGGCCGAAGAGGGTTCCGAGTCGTCGGCCGATCTTTCCAAAACGCCCAAAATGGCCGCGAGACAACCGAAGATGCCCCCAAGGCGCCCAAAAAGGCCTCCCATAGAGGCAAAAATGATGTTCCTCTGGTGTTTATTAAATGATCTTGGCGTTCTCGCCTTTTCGGCTTCCCGACGCTCCAGGACGCCACAAGAGGCCCCCAAGATCGCCATGAGACGGCCCAAGAGGCCTCCAAGAGGGTCCCAGAACTGCCCGAGATGGCCCCAGAACTGACCAAGAGGCGACCAAGACGGCCCCCGAGGCCCCCAAGACAGCTCCAAGAGGGGGGCCCGACGGGGGATCCGAATGGACATTCCGAGCTCTCGGCCCTGGGGGGCCCCCAGGAGGCCCGAAGGGCCCGCCAACGGACCCCAAGCTGGCCCCAAGAGGCCCCCAGGAAGGCCTGAGAGACCTTCAAGAGGCTCCCGAGAGGCCCCCCAAGAGGCTCCCAAGAGGCTCCAAAACTGTCCAGAGACCCCAAGAAGCATGTCTGAGGACTCTGACCCTCAACCAAGGCACGGTGGCGGGACAGACCGTAGGCCAGTAGATCCGCCGCCCCCTGCTTGCAGGGGTGCACGGCGTGCTGGATGATTCAGGTTTTGGTTTTGGTTCTTTTTCTAAAAGAATCCAAGACGCCTACGGCGAATCACCGCCGCCCCCTGCCTTTTTGGAAGCGCCTATGTGGCCGAACGTTGAGGCCAGACCTGCCAAGCTATCGGACCACGTGTTCCCCGAATCGGTTTGGAAAGCCTTCGGGGAACACGGGGGCATCTTGAAGGTCATCTTGGCCGTCTTGGAGGCCTCTTGGGCAAGCTTTGGGCGATCTTTGGGGCTTTTTGGGCCGTCTCGGGCCAGCTTCGAGCCAACTTCGGCCATCTTGGTGGGTTCCTGGCACGTCTGAAGCCGTCGGAAGCCGTTTGGGGGGCCTCTATGGGCCGACTTGGGGCCCGCTGGGACTGCTCCAGGGCCGTCTTGGAGGCCATCTTGGGCGTCTTGGAGGCCATCTTGGGCGGGTTGGAGGCCTCTTGGGCCCTCTTGGGGCCCTCGAGGGGCCATCTTGGAGGCCACTTGGGCCATCATGGGGCTCTCTTGGGGGCCTCTTGGGCGATCTTGGGGGCTTCTTGGGCCGTCTTGAGCCGTCGGAGAGCCGAAAAGGCGCAAATGCCAAAATCCTTCAAAACCCAAAGGAAAATCACTGATTTTGGCCTCTTCGGACTCTCCTGGAGGACCTCTTGGAGGCCTCTTGGGCCGTCTGGGAGGCCTCTGGGGGGCCTCTTGGGCCGTCTTGGGCCGTCTTGGACTCTCTTGGGCCGTCTTGGAGGCAGTCTTGGACCATCTCGGGCGGACTTGGGAAAAAAGAAAAGAAAAAGAGAGAAAAAAGAAAAAAAAAAGAAAAAAAAGAGAAAAAAAGAGAATAAACAGAAAAAGAAAATAGAAAAAAGGAAAAGAAAGGAAATAAAAGAAAAAAAAAAAAGGGGACAAGAAAAAAGATAAAAAAAAAAAGATAAAGTACGACGTAAATATGACGAGCAAGAAAGTCAGATACAAAAATATCAAAGAAAAATAGAAAAACGAAAAAAATTATCAAAAATCTCAAAAACAACAAAAAGAAAAAAATAAAACAGAAAAAGGACGGTCCATCTTGTGCAGTTCTTCTTCTAAAAGAACTCCCCCATTGGCTTTCGGCTCCGTCCCTCCGGCACCCGCAATTTCCCAAAATCCATCGGTCAATGCCCAAAACGGCCGTTTCGCTCGGGACATCCTCAAACAATCGCGAAGATGGCCCAAGATGGCCTCCAAGTCCGCCCGAGATGTCCAAGACGGCCTCCAAAACGGCCCAAGAGAGTCCAAGACGGCCCAAGACGGCCCAAGAGGCCCCCCAGAGGCCTCCCAGACGGCCCAAGAGGCCTCCAAGAGGTCCTCCAGAAGAGTCCGAAGAGGCCAAAATCCTTGATTTTCCCTTGGTTTTTGAAGAATTTTGGCATTTGCGCCTTTTCGGCTCTCCGACGGCTCAAGACGGCCCAAGAAGCCCCCAAGATCGCCCAAGAGGCCCCCAAGAGAGCCCCATGATGGCCCAAGTGGCCTCCAAGATGGCCCCTAGAGGGCCCCAAGAGGGCCCAAGAGGCCTCCAACACGCCCAAGATTGCCTCCAAGACGCCCAAGATGGCCTCCAAGACGGCCCTGGAGCATTCCAAGCGGGCCCCAAGTCGGCCCATAGAGGCCCCCCAAACGGCTACCGACGGCTTCAGACGTGCCAGGAACCCACCAAGATGGCCGAAGTTGGCTCGAAGCTGGCCCGAGACGGCCCAAACAGCCCCAAAGATCGCCCCAAGCTTGCCCAAGAGGCCTCCAAGACGGCCAAGATGACCTTCAGATGCACACGTGTTCCCCGAAGGCTTTCCAAACCGATTCGGGGAACACGTGGTCCGATAGCTTGGCAGGTCTGGCCTCAACGTTCGGCCACATAGGCGCTTCCAAAAAGGCAGGGGGCGGCGGTGATTCGCCGTAGGCGTCTTCGATAAAATGTCTACAAGAACTGCTACGACTACGATTGCCAATCACAAAGATATTGCAATTACGACTTGCACGACACACCATACACATGGTACGAAGACCAATCATCATCCTGCTTCTGTTGCTGCTGGTCCTCATCCACATCATCCGCCTCCTCCTACAACATTCCTCTCGCACACGGAAGAAGTCGAACGGTCATGGACATAGGTTCAATACATGCAACAAGGCTGTATCACCGTATCCGACGTGTTGCTTCGCATATCCAAGCCGACTGTTCACCTCCTGGGGTTGTTCCCCCCAGCAGTATGCGCGAGACGGCGTGATCACTGAGAGACGAAGAGTGGCAGAAGAAGCATCAACCGCCGAGAGGTGTTCCTAAGGTAGCCGAGCGCGTGAAGTCCGAACTACGAGAAGTGGTGCAGGGCCCGGCTTCAAAGGATCTGGCAGCAACTGCTGATTCAGAAACCATAATGTCTGGTAGCTACTGGCAGCTCTGAAGGATATGGCAGCTCCGAGACCTCCTGGTTCTGGACCCCCCGGAGATGCCAGGCCATAATGCAGCAACGAAACGCGCAGACAAAAAAGACATGATAGCAGCTCGGAAGGATCTTGCAGCTACTGGTAGCTAATGTCGACACGTTGCGAGCGGGGCGCGGCCAGCGAAAGCGGCCAAGGATGGGCCGAAGGGGAAGGACGCAAGGCTAACCTTGGGAAGTTGCTCATCCTTACGATGCTGGTTGACTGCATTGCTGAGATGGTAGGTCGGAAACTATATACACAACGGCAGATGCACGAACACGCGGAGTGGACTCCTAGAGACCGCGAGGACAGTGCTGGCACTCCCCGTTCAGGGGGGGAAAAACTGTAGCCTTGGAAACCCGACTGCGCAGCTACGTCGAAAGGCTAAGCCTACTCTGTGCTCGATGGTGCCACCTACTCTGTCACGTCCACCTTGGCCGTGACCCCCCCGTGCTCGTGCTCGTGGGAGTGGAAAAACCGCTCTTCCCGCCACACCTCGTCGGCGAACCGCTCCTCGGTGACTCCAGGAGCCTGACCACGGCGGCCTTGTTCATACCAACGAAACGCTGCTCGAGCTTATGGCCAGGGACGTGCCCAGCGTATCCAAGCACACCGCACCCTGCGCTCGCAGGTGATCCTGGCTCCACGTTCGGGGCAGTTAACCTCCGATACTCGAGGCCCTTGCGAGGCTCGCACATCTCCTTGGCGACTTTCTGGTTGGCCGAGGCGAACGTTGCCCCGACCACGGCACTCGCCTTCGGACAATGGCCCGTGTACCCAGGAGTTGCATCTGTGGCCCGGCCCTGACCAGGATAGCCTCCAGGCTTCAGTGGAGCTCCAGCAACTGCACCACCGGGCCGCACCTCTGCCTCTCGGTAGTCTTTCTTGTTGATCACCTGGCGATTCTGGGTCTTGTAGGTGGCGCCGTGGTGCAGGGTCTTCCCTCCGATGTGACCCGTGTAGCCTGGAATTGCTGCATGGACCCGCTGTTGATTGGTCACGCTCGACGAGGTCTTGGCTGGGCTGACCGCGTAGCTGACCCGTTCGCCCGTGTCCTTTCCGGGGACATGGCCGGTGTAACCAGGCATGTGCATTTGGCGCTGCAGGCGTGGGCGAGCCCACTGCGGCAGCTCGTGCTGGGACCAGCGCCTTGAGCCAGGGGCTGCGGACTTGAGCCAAAGTGGCTACGGAAATGTTCACCCCCTACCTCTTCAGAGCAAAAAGTGTTCGATAGCGAGGCTGGTAGAAAACCCCTCATGGGTCACAAAACGATTCACTGCCTGCACACTCTGCCAGATGACAAGCACGACGACGCTGGAATGCCAGGACCCGTGCGCGAAGTGTGCACAAGAGGCTCTCCGAGAGGATGAGCCGACAAGAATTCAACCCGCAGGTCATCAACGAGGAGGAGGCGGAGAAGGGGGGGAGACGGAGGAGGAGGGAGGAAGAGGCGTCGAGGATGAAAACTGGGGGGGAGCAGGTGGAGGCGGAGGAGGACCCCAGGCAGCCGAGGCACCCCGCGCCTGACGACGGCTGCTTCGCGAGGAAGTCCTGCGCGAGGGGACCCAGCCCACCCGCCCGCCTGTCGGCTGCGTCTCGTCCTCCTCCCCCCTCTCGTCGTCGTCGTCGTCGTCGTCGTCGTCGTCGTCGTTGTCGTCGTCGTCGTCGTCGTCGTCCTCCTCCTCCGCCTCCGTCCTCCTCCTCCTCCTCCTCCTCCTCCTCCTCCTCCTCCTCCTCCTCCTCCTCCTCCTGCTCCTTCCCCCTCCTCCTCCTCCTCCTCCTCCTCCTCCTCCTCCTCCTGCTGCGTCCTGCCGTCATGCCAATCATCGTCGTCATCGTCATCACCACCACCACCATCATCATCATCATCATCATCATCATCATCATCATCATCATCATCATTATCATCATCATCAGCATCATCATCAGCATCATCATCATCATCATCACCATCACCATCACCATCACCATCACCATCACCATCACCATCACACTCAGCATCACCATCAACAACAACAGCATCATCATCATCACCATCATCATCACCATCACCATCACCATCACCATCACCATCACCATCAACAACAACATCAACAACAACAGCAGCAGCATCATCATCATGATCATCACCATCATCATCAGCAGCAGCATCAGCAGCAGCAGCATCAGCCTCACCATATGCATCAGTATCAGTATCAGAATCAGCATGATCATCACCATGAGAATCAGCATCAGCATCATCATCGACATCATCAGCAGCATCAGCATCATCATTATCCTAATCATCGTCATCATCATCTCATCATCTCATCATCCCATCATCAGAATCATCATCATCATTATCATCAGCAGCAAAAGCATCATAATCATCATCATCAGCATCATCATCAGCCGCAGTATCATCATCAGCATCATCATCAGCATCAGCAGCAACCGCAGCAGCAGTAGCATCATCAGCAGCAGCGGCAGCAGCAGCATCGGCATCAGTATCCGCAACAGCAGCTTCATCATCCACAGCAGCAACAGCACCCTCATCAACATCAAGCACTTCTTCATCCTACTGATCACCATCGTCAGCATCAACACCAACGACAACACCAACATCATCATCGTCATCATCATCAGCAGCATCATCACCATCATCCACATTAAAATTATCATCACCATCATCATCAGCAGCAGCAGCAACACCATCATCACCAGTATCGAAATCTGCATCATCATCAGCAGCATCACCATCATCATCAGCATCAGCAGCATCATAATCATAGTCACCAGAATCCTCATCATCAGCATCATCATCATCGTCAGCATCAACGTCGGCATCATCAGCATCGCCACCACCGCCAGCACCATCCTCATCGTAGTCGTCAGCAGCAGCATCAGCATCAGCATCAGCATCATCATAAGCATCAGCAGCAGCAGCATCGTCATTATCATCCGCATCGTCAGCATCGGCATCGGCATCGGCATCGACATCGTCAACCCCATCGTCATCGTCATCAACAGACGCATCACCATCACAACCGCAACCATCAACATCAGCACCACTACCGTCATCTGCATCGCCACCGTCCTGTGCAGCATCGTCCTCATCAGCAGCATCATCAGCCTAAGCATCAGCAGAAACAGCAATAGCATCAGCATCAGAAACATCAGCAGTGTCGTCACCGTCGTCATCATCATCATCATCATCACCATCATCATCCTCAGCACCATCACCATCAACACCATCTCCAGCATCCGCAGTATCATCACCACCGTAGTCGTCATCGCCATCCTCATTATCACAATCATCAGCAGCAGCAGCACCAGCATCAACATCAGCAGCAACATCAGCAGCAGAAACATGATCAGCATTATCATGATCATCATCATCATCAGCAGCAGCAGCATCATCATCATCACCACCATCATCATTATCATCATCGTCAGCATCAGCATCAGCATCATCATCATTAGCAGCAGCATCATCCGCAGCATCATCATCATCAGCCGCAGTATCATCATCAGCAGCATCATCAGCATCATCATCGTCATCGTCATCGTCATCGTCATCGTCATCGTCATCGTCGTCATCATCATCAGCAGCATCAGCATCCGCAGCAGCACTAACATCAGCAACATCATAACCAGCATCCGCAGCAGCAATAGCATCAGACTCATCAGCATCACCATCATCACCACCACCACCACCACCATCATCAGCAGCATCAGCAGCATCAGCATCACCGTCATCACCATCATCGCCAATTGCAGCAGCATCCCTACTCCTCTCCCGCCTCATCTTCCTCCCTCCCGCCTTCTGTCTTCCTTCCCCCAGGCCTAAAGCAACTTCCTGACAGCCGTGAGCCTGATGTTAATCGAGCTGTGGTTGCCAATGCCTGTGCAGTCTCGTCCAAAGCAAAGGCCTCCGCAATAAATCATGAAACGGGTTGCTGCAGAAACGTGCCAGACATGATTATATGAAAGAGTCTGCAGTTCTTGTCTCCAGATACGTCCGCCGTCAACGTGGAATAGCAAACTAACATGATCTACACTAGGATCGCTGGGGATAGGAACACGGTGGCACCATAATCTGCGCTTGTCCATCATATGGTTTACCAAGTAGTCCGATGGTATTCCGCTCCCGCGGCCTCCACTGAACGACGTCGTCGATTTCCCTCCCTCCTTCCCTCCCATTCTCCTCCCTCTCTCCTCCCCCTCTTACTCCTCCCTCAGCAGCCTCCCTCCTCCTTCCCCTGCCTCCTGCTCCTGCCTCGTCGCGTCTTCCCTCCGCCTTCTCCTGCGACTCCTGTTCCCCCCGCCTGACCCTCCTGCTAGACCTCCTCACCATCCCCTGAAAACATCCTCGTCCTCCCCCACCCCGTCCGATACAGATGCCGTCGTGGTATAAGCACTCAAGTCGCCGCCTTGCCGACCGATAGCGACCAAATCCAGGCCCGTGCGCCAGCCCCACTGAACAACAAGGCAAATCAACGTGCTCCCGTTCAACATGGACGTGTTGGCGTCGACGTCGCAACGTGGGTGGCGGAAAAGGACGGAGCGCGCACCCCGCGCGAAATGGGCGACACGTCGCTCTCACCTCGGCGCCGCGCTCGCTCTTCCTGGGCGCTGCGCTCCCCCCCTGGCGCGGCGCACATCCTTCGCTCGCCCATTCGTCGACAGCGGGGTCGCGCGAGAGCGGACGAACATGTCGCCCTCGCCCAGGCACTGCGCGGAGTTCGCGTGAAAGTGCCGGTCCGCCAGGCGCGGCGCGCACCACAGTCAACCCGTCTAGCAAGAATGCGCGACGAGGATGCGAGGGCCTCGGACGCCCATTCCGAAGCTTTCGGGCTGTTCGAAGGATGGGCCGAGGAGGCAAGAATGCAAGGGCACCCTTGGGGAAGGTTGCCAATCCTTAATATGCGGGCTGACTGCATATTACATCCGCAGAGTCGTCAGGGGCGGGGCCGCGGGCGGGCTGGCGGCCCGTCACCATCGCCCGAGCTCCGTACGGAGTCGCCTGGAAGTGGCGCTCCCGCTTCGGCCACTGCGCACATGTCGATCGCCCAGTCGCACGGAAGCGGCAGCGGCGTCGGGGCCGCGCAAGAGATGACGACATCCTGTGCTCGCAGAAGCGCCGCGCCATTTGTGCGCGATGGTGCCAATGATGCCGCGACGCGGCGCATGCTTCATGTTGTCACGCTCATCGGAGATCGGGGAGGCGTAAGACTCGGGTTCGGGGGACTCGGGTTGGCCTGACTGGGCCATCATGAAAATGACGAGACGCAGCCTGAAATTTGACACGAGCTCCCGCTGCAGACGTCCCACGAAAACTGGACCGCCACAACCCAGGACGAGCTCGTCAAAGAGCGTCGCCAAACCCGAGCTCCAGTGCGCTCGAGTCTTACGTTAGGGAAACGAAAGCTGGCATCAACATGAAAACTCAGAAAACCGCGCGGATTTCTTGGATCCGAGCTGGACCCCCCTCCCTGGCGCGCAGAGCGCGCCAGGGGCGGCGCTGGAGGCGGCCTCAGCGCCGATCCGAGAAATCCGCGCGGACCTCCGAGTTATCATGTTTATGTCATGGTCCGTTCCCCTATACGTTTCCCCGAGGAACGTGTGCATCCCGCGAGGGGATAGATCGTGCTCTCGCCGCAACGCCGCGCAATAGAAACGTCAGGAAAAAAAGTGGCTCTCGCCCCTGCGAGGACCGCGTTCTCCCTCCCTTCGCCAGGGCCTCGGTCGGGAGCGAGACCGCGCGCGCGCGCCTTCCCTTTCGCTATCGCTATACAGTCAACCCGAACCAGACTCGAACTCATGCCTATCCCTAATATCGGCAAGCCAAAAGCGATGACGGTCTTAGGGATGTGCCCTCAGAAACTGGGACAATCCTTAAGATCGATATGGAAGTAAGGTGATGCCAACCATAAGATATGGATATGTTTCAAACTGCTAGCACCCGTGCAATAAGGGCACGATGAGGATGCAAGGGCTTTGGAAGGCCATGTTGACGTTCTTCGAACGGGGCTGGCCAGCGAAAGTGGCCAAGGATGGGCCAAAGGGGAAGGATGCACGGGCAACCTTGGAGGGTCGCTCACTGTTACTGTGCTGGTCGACTGTAGCCGGGAACATGTTCTGGTCCCAATGCCAAGTTGTGCCACCAATGCTGAGCATGTTATGGGATGGAGAGTTGGAATCGGCAGGGCCCGCTGACT